TTTTTTTTTTTTTTTTTCTTTTTTTTATTCTTCTTTCTACTCCATTCCGTGGAACGACGATCTTATGGCTGTTGGCGAAACGCGAAAGAAACGTTGCCGAAGGTGGATACACGGATATGGAAGAACGATCGGAGAACCTGACGAGAATGCTATACGCTTTCTGGACTATTAACTTGGAATCAAGCTTCTTCCTTGCATTCTATCCGCAGCATCTATACGGCATCGGGCGCTGCGAAGCGGAAAATGGGTGTCTGGGATGAGACGTGCCATTATAAAATCAAGACGCGAATTATGAATGGATTTATCATACGTCACTCGCATCCGCGATCGCATTATCGATCCTGCCGATCGCGGTTGCCACGTTCGACGGATCACGATTCGAGAAGCGCCGCACGATAAGGCGAAAAGAAACGGTAATTGTTCCGCGAGATGGAGGCCCGATTGGCCCCTCTCTTTGCATAACGAAGAATCGAATTTTCGGTTTAATCAGTCGGCCATCATCATCCTCTTACGTCCAGAGTTAATTACGTTAACCATCGTACCGTATCGGAGATGCTATGCGGATACGCGCGAAAATCTAGACCCTTCTATAACGCGGTTTCGTTCGTCGATTTGCACTCGGCTCTGGAAGACGTATCTGTGCTCGGCCACGGAGAGCTTCGACGCTGCGCAACCTCTTCGTCACGGAACGAAGGTTGCACCTTCGATGCACTTTTTAATCGACCACGGGTACACTCGACGGTGGTCACCTTCAAGCTTCATCGATTCCCCGAAGGAAGTTGAATTTTCTCAAGCTTATCGAGGTGGACATCTGTGTCGTCACGGGTCACGCAGTCAAAGACCCTGAACGATCGGGTAATTTGTATGAAGAAGATGCGCACCGGTCCGTGACAATGCGATCTGTCGTTCGCGTTATTTCGAACAACGCGCGTCTCTTTTTCGTCTTTCATTCGCGCACGCCCCGCGATGTCCATTGAATTATTTATCGCTTAACGGAGAAGGGAAAAATTTACGGCTTTGATTTCATCTGGTAGCCTCCGGTGCCGGGATTTATTGGTACTCCCTGCTGTCAGCTTTGCCGCGCCATTTGCCGTCTCGGCTTATCGAGAACCGGTAAAATTATCAACGAGAAAATAAATTCAGCATCCACTTCTGATCGTTCATTCATACCGAGAATTACACGAGGCAACGTTGCATCACGACGTAGTGGGATTCCATGATCTGAATATAATGGGTCATCTAACGCGCTGAGCGTAAGTACCAAGTAACGCGAGGAATCGTTCCAGCATCTAGCTCTTAGCGCCACTTCCGGCGGCTTTCAGGTTCAGAAGAGATCGTGACCGATTTATAATCCGTTCGCATGCTATAATTGCGTGCGCGTTCGCCACGCAACTAACCAGGAAGCAAGAAGCTTCGTTAATGACTCAATCTTCGACACTTTCCATTCGATACCGATTCGCCTTTCTCCTACCACCGATTTCCCGGCTTTGCGTCCAAATGTCGCCCGCTCTATTCCCCTGCCGCGGTTAATTCCGCGATAATCCTTCGTCGTTGGAAATTGCATCGGGTGTTGTCGCACATTTTTCATCTCGTTTCCCCTTTTCTCCTTTTTCTTTTCCTTTTTCTTTTTCTTTTTCTTTTCCTTGCGCGATTCGAGGAAAGTGACCGGTCTCTCCTCGAGCGAGTAGAAATCTCGGAGCAATTATGCCGACACGGTCGAGAACGTTCCCTTTCGGGATCAAAAAGTCGGCGAATCTCGGCGACTCGAACACGCGCTGGGAGTGCACACGCGTGACGTTTGCATTGCAGATGTCATCCGAGAATGCTTTGCATTTATGGGTGTGTGCCTGGCAAGATAATTTAATGCGGCATCATCTCTCTGCTCGGACGAGAATGCGACCGATCCGGACTTGGCATCTCCACGCGACCTGGCATCGTTTCGGCTCGTTTCAACCGGGGAAACCGTCGCCCCTCTTTCGCTCTCGTTCCAACTATTCTACCTTGACTTACGTAACTGCTTCCTAATGACAATTCCGCTTCGCAGAAATCCAGGTAATCGGTCCTCGCTCGCTGCTTACCGATTCCAGCAAACAGAATGCGGAACCGCGCAACGGCGTTTGCGGTAAACGCGAAATCGATTCTCGCCTGCCGCCATTACTCTAATTGTTCTCGTTCGAGCGTTTCGTTATTGCCGGCGGTTTTTAGTCGCGAAAATGTCGGGGAAATATTGGGAATATGTCGGGAAAATGCCACTCGGATTAACGCCACGACGATTCGATACGACGGATAAGCAGTCTCGACGAGGAACGCGTGGCGCTCGTGACACTGGCGCACATAGAGAGGATCGGTAGAGGAGCGATTTTTGCTCCACCGATCGATAAGCGTCACGACGCCGTAGCCGGTGAAATTACAGAGTGCCTTGTAATTGCTGCAAAGGCTTTCTTCCCCGGACAGGGTCTCTAACCGGAGCGATACGCGTTCTTACCTGAAGGCAACCGCAGAAGGACTTTTTCACCCGTGATGGCATCGTCTGGCAGCGACCCACGAATTCCTTCAAGGGCTGTGGACTCTTCACTGGACAGCTCGGAATCCTCTGCAAGTCAGAAAACATTCCAATCACTTAATCGAATCTCCGACCCGTCGGCTCGATTCTGAATCGGTCGATCGACTCCATAGAAAATCAACACCGGAAGCTTCGCGATTCTCCTTTCGTCGCGGAGACCCGTGTTTCTGAAAGGGAAACAGCGAATCGCCTTTCACTCGCTTTTGTCCAATATGAATTCTTACGGTACCAAACGTTATAAAAAGAACAGGTAGAGCAACTCGTTACGTAGTCCGAGCATAACGCTGCATCCGTATGGCGGTGTAGTATAACGACTCGTTTGCCATCCGCATTTACCAAGAGCTTCGTTCTGCTCGTCGCGGAACGATCGTGTTGCTTTTCCTTTCTTCGAAATTTCAGGATAACCCGACACCATCGCGAATTTACCCCGCGATTCACCTAATCCCTTCGCTTCGTCGTCACGTACCGCCAACAATCTGGACATTCTACTGTCCTGCCCGGCTTCCGGACAGGACTCGATGTCATCGTGCTGACCGGTGGATGACATGTCCAGTATATTCCTCTCCCCTCGAGTGGACTCCTCTTTTCCTGGACGGGAAAGAGGGTGAAAGAGAGACGGAAGGCGCACAGGGTCCCGATCGTAATCGGAAACGCGATTACTCGCGAATTTCACTTTTGCGCGTTCGATGCGCGATGGAAGCACGAGCGCGCGAGCGCCGGCGAGACTGCCTATTGTCGGCTGTCGCGCCGAAGAGAGGCTTCAGTCGACAACGAGGTCGAGCCAACGCAGTCGAACGGAGTTGGTCTTATCGTGGCGTCGAATTTCTTATCGCCTGGCGCGGAAAAAATAAAGCCCGACGGTAATTTCTGGTTATCGCGCAGGTATGCATATGTTCGCGGACAGCTCCGACAACGCGAATTGATAAACGAGCATGGCGCAGGGACGACGAGCGTTTGGAACTGTGGGTGGAGCGACGTGACCCCGCGCCTTCTTCAGACTTTGGAAATGTACCACGGCGAGAGATAAGAATCGGCAACGACTGGTTATCGGTCGTATTTCGGATGACTGCTCCCTTTCGGCAGATGGTACACTCTTCTATCTCGCGGCACGCTAACCGCGCGTCCTGGCGAAACTCGCGCGGGCATCGCGAAAAACGCGAACGGTGAAACTCGAGACGCGCCAGTCGCCTGGAATTAATTATTCAGACACGTTCTATTCCCGTTTTATCCCGTATCGATGTCGTACGAAGAAGCACAGCCTCCATGGGCAGCCACTTTCCACGCCGTTACGGAAATTTACGACACCGTCGACCACCCTTCTTGCCGCATTTTCACGCCGTTGCTATACTTTTACACCTTTTGCACCTTTCTCTCGGAAAGCACGGACCCCGGTTAAACTCGAGGATCCGGCTAATTCCTCTCAATTAATTCACCGGCTCCGCGTTTCCATGCAGTCCGGGGACAGCGTTCCCTTTATTTCGCGGAGCAGCTGTTGCCCGGGGGTAATTGTAACCTTCTATGAGCCGTTAGCTCGAGCCTCGTGTAACGAGAATGTTGTACACGCATAACTGTCGCTCGCGAGTATGCAACTACCAGCGATGGTCGAGTATCGCCGCAGAGTTTCGTGACGTGCAACATTATCTGCTTTGCGAAATCCTTCTCCCCTCGAGTGGAACGCCCCGTGGAAATCTCGCGTCCCCGTTGCACGCGTTTCGTCCGTCGTGGAAATCACTTTGATATCCTTCGTCTCGGTCAGTGTGTCCGACGGGATGCTGGTCGATCGCGAGGAAACGCCGAGAAATCGGTTCTATTCTGACTAACCTATACGCTGCTCCGTCTCGACGAACACGCGACAACAGACGCGTTTATTCGATGGAAAGTCTCCGGGAACGCAAAAGTTGCCCAAAGACACCGCGGGATACGCTTGTAAACACTCGACGAAGCTGCACGATGTAATCTACGATCGCCAAAATCGCTTCCTCGTGACACACCGGGACACGCTAACCTGTCACGGATGCTAGATTCGCAATTGTAAATACGAACGACCCCAGTGGTTCCCAAATTCTCTGCTCCTACTGGTCGAAAGCATTACCGGTAAACGGTTCGCGATAGGAAAAGACGGGTTCGTGGAGAGCGAATCGAAGAGCAGATCGACGCGAGAGTAAGGGAGGTGCAATTTGTTTGCGTAATCCGGCGTCGGTGGTGCAAGGCGTTCTGCAATGGTCGTATCCGGAAGAAAGCGAGCACGGTGGATGGAACGGATGGAAATGGCAGTATGTTCGGCAGGCGGTGATCGGTAATCGATGGAATTTGAAAGGCGCCGATTAATCCTGCGCTTCATTAATCGCCGGGACACGAGAAATCTCGAACGAGTGGGCCAGCACGCACGCGTGCAGATTTTCTCCGTGCCGCGGATCGCATCCCGGATAAGAGGTGCCTCGAAAGCGCAGGTTCCGTCGATGGTCGTCTCGGCCCGCGCAAAATGAGGCCTCCGTGGGGCACAGGTGAACTTTCGAGTCTCGTTTCGCGCGAATCCACGCACGGGACACGCGGTAATCCGGCGGGAGTGGACGAAACGAGGGCAATCGGTAAATCCGTGACTTTGTTGTTTCCTGCTTATGCCGTGCCGGCTCTGCTCGAAAAACAAAGCGTATTTACGTCGATGCCAGTGCGCGGGCAGATTCTGGAAACAGGGTCAGCTCGTAACTTTTACCCGAACGATGGCACAGAAAGCTTCCACTGCTAATGGAGTCATCTTCTCGGAGGCAACGACGCGACAGTTATGGCCTATCTGCTTTAATATTTCATTAAGAAGAATCGCGGCTGTGCGATCGTAATCGGCTAGTTTTCCCCGGAGAGAAGAGTCGTCGCGATAGAAGACTGCGTTCGCCGACTCGACCGACTATTATCTCTCGTTCTTCGTGGCTCGTCGTGAATAACTTTGCGACTAAAAACGTCCACGAATAGCCCGTATAAACGGATACAGATACGAAAACGGCGTACAGTTATCGACAATGGCGTGCAATGTGTCAGCTAGATTCGAAATTGCATTCAATAATGCATAATAGTCGAGCAAACGGGGCTTCCACGGCTATTCGCTTCTTCGCCCTCGTTCCTTTGATCTTTGCCAGAAGCACTCGCGGCTTTTGGCAAATGGGGTCCATTTACCAGGGAAACGTCACGGAATTCGAGAAATTCGGACATGAAATTTTGGAACGAATAAAGGGAACGGCACTTGGCTTATTACTCTCTGTTTATCCAGACGGAAGTACAGGTGATGGATTGCGCAGAGATAAAAATTTATAGCATATCGAGATTATTCGGATCGTTTAACGAGGCATTGATTGCCAGACCACTCGTTATCGAGGTTACGTCAACCTGACCGAAATACTTGTCCTTCGCGTGAATTCCAATGGCAATCTAGGAGCTCGGAAATCACGCGATTGAGGCATGCCTTTCGATTACGTATCGTGCGTGCAATTATGACATTAACCTTAGGGGAGAAACTCGCCTGGCTAAAGATTCTAATTTCGATCGGCGTCGGGAGAGCCGCGAAGCGTTTCATCGGTTGATTTATATTTAGATAGAAGCATGTACGCGAAGATCGAGAGCAGCTTCGAATCCGCGTATTAAATGGATAGGCCTGCGTGACTCGATTCGATTGCAACACGATTCACGAGGTGTTCTCGCCGCGAGAAAATTAAAAGACGGTACCGAACGCGACGCGATGATTTATCCGCGAAAATGACAGGCAGACGTCAACATTTGCACGCCGACGCGACGAACGCCGCGTAATCCCGCGAAAATCTTTGACGTTCGCGCGCGGCTTTCGCTGCGAAGGAAACGGAACTCGGGCACCTACGCGAGTTCAGCGAGTTTCCATTTGCGTCGTGGCTAATTCGCGCATCCTAATATTTCTATTAACCAGCCAGAGAGCTGGTGGAACGGAAGGAGGACGAGGGATTGGCAAAGCGAGCATCGTGTCGAATCTGACGGTACCGGTTATCCGGTCTCGGTAGCTATTCTTCACGACCTCCCGCCACTAGAAATCTCGACATTAAACACTCTCGCGTGATTTGTCATCGTAGATCGCCTCGTGCATCATTCGAGAATGTTAATTGCGAACGGCGTCGCGAGACAGGCAGCACGCGATTACTCTTGTTGCGCTCGATACACGCTCGAGGATGCACGTTTTCAGAAAAGGAGAACAAAAGCAGCTTACGGCTTAATACAGCTACGAAACCTCTTTACTCTCGTCATTGTCGTGTTAATCGCGTTATGATTGCGGCCGATTTCGTGGCAATTAAACGTTCATTGAAATGTTTGAAGAAGAAAAGAAGCTCGAGCGATTAACTGCGTAATTTAAATGCATAAAAACGAAAGCGAGTTGTATAACTGCGTCTACGGTGAATTCAATTTCTCTTGTTTTGACCGTCATTCCGAATAAATTTTCCTACCATCTACGAATATAAAGCACCGCCTATCATGCGAGAGATTACGTAGCGTTGCACGATGGAAGCGAGTTCTGACTCGAAGCAACCAGCGGCACCAATTAACTTTTAACGGAGATAATTGATTTAAGGAAAGATTCGAATACTTGATCGAATACTCGATACTACGCTATTTGCATGAGAAATGTAAAAATTCCTTAATAGAAGGTGTTGCGTGTCGAACGAGAATGCTCCAACCGAGGAATTCCGAAGCCTCGAGTGAAATCGAAAAACAGAAAATTCGATGAAAAGAAAGTACTGTCGGAAAGCGATAAGGAATTACGACATTTGATTACGCGAATAAACAAGCATAGAGTACGAAGGATACGCGCGCACCTACGATTCTTCGTGTGCCAAATCGAGCGACCGCCAGACGCTTTTCGCGGGATATCGATTCCTCGTATCCTCGACTTTCGATTTTCTTCGGACACCTGAACGATCAGACCCGTTTCTCCCGACTGTCCATCGCGGTTATTATTTCGGTTAGCGATATTTGCTCTCGAGGGACGAGCGCGACGATAAGCCGGCGTGTGGTCGATGATCCATCTCGAATCGATCGTACGCATCGAGATCGACCCACTTCTTCTTCCTCGACGAGATCGAAGGACCAGAGTAGCGACATCTCGTGGAAAAGCTGGGGCCAGCTTTCCAACGCCAGGGAGCAACATAAATCCGATGATTTACGAGGTGGTCGGGAAGAGAATGAACGAGAACGTACGAGTTTAACAGCTTCGATGATCGATCTACGGGCAACGAGGGATATATATTTCTCGACTATTCTTTTCAAGGAGTCGCGAGACGTCGAGTATAATTTAGAGATAGCGAGCCTGCTGACGAGAGTCGAATAAACGAATAAACGTCTGAGAATTTGAATTCGTTCGGACAAGGTATATACACATATTTTCGCTTAGTTCCCCCCCGAGGGAAACATGTTTATGGACTCGTAATGCGATATTTTCGAGTGGCATTTGCATGTGAAACTCCGTGCCTGAATTCATAATTTCTTCAGGTATTTTCACGTATACCCACTGGCACACTGAGACATTTGCCTCCGCTGGCCCCGGTGCGAGGCTTGTTTACCCATTTAATAGTAAGTCCGACAAGTTTAAAATTGATCGGTGCTTATAAGGCGAAATAACAAAGAGTCGGGTGGTCTTTTTATCGAGTCCTTTTATCGTTGCTCGGTTAGTCGTTTCTTTTTGTAACCCATAAAAGCGAGCGTTGGCCCGTAATAGCAGGTACAATGAAA